GTGTCCAGAACCATTTCTGGTGCGTGCCCCTGGTCCCTCCATTTCCAGGCTTGCTTTTAGCCCATTGTCCCTGGGCCCCAGGCCAATCAGCAGGGCTCTTCTGGTCAGCACGGTGCCGGCCAGCTTGATTGTAGACTAGCCACTTGAACTGCAGTACTAAGGTGAGTCAGGTGGGGGGGCCTGTTACATACTGTCATGTTAGTTTTGATCCCATTGAATTCAGTGGAGTTCCTCAGGATATGTGCCAACATAAAAAAGATGAAAATCAGGTCCTGTTATTTTCTTTTCAGTTGTATTTTACACCCATTTTGCACAGATGTAAATAAGGAAATCGTGGCCCAGAGTGCTACAGACTTTGCTTTCACAGCCAAAAGAGGCAGGCTTTGTTTAGGGTAGGAGAACGCATGCAACCGCACAGGAAAACCCTAGTAGAAACTTGGCTCTGCAGTTTTACTGCAATGTAAACTAGGTGAGGCCAACCATAGGCCCAGCTATAGTAATGACCCCCTTAACCACACAGTAGGTATGTCTACACATGCACTGAGGTCCTTTTTCTAATGCACATTAAATTTAGTACCTCTAATGTGAGTTCCTAAGAAATGCGTATTAGGCTGCCTTAATAAGCAGTAATGAATGAGTATGGTTTTTAAGTGATGCTAATGCACGGTAAAATAGGCTACTGTGCATTAAAGCACACATGTAGATGTATCCAGTGAAAACTGTAAGTGCTTTGACTCCACTCAAATAGTCAGGGAGGCAGCTAACATGTACCAGTTATACCACTATGAAAAAGCAGGGAGGAAAGCCACAGTGACTTAAGGGCACAGGTGGAAAGAAAACCCAGGTCTCTGTGGTCCAAGGTCCTCTTCAAATCACTAATACAATCCCTTCCTGCTTCACCCTAAAAGCAACATAGGTTCAAGGCCTAGACATGTTTCTTAGCGTATATATTTGTAAAGAAACAAATTCCTTATTTATCAAATATAAATAATGTTTGACCTGGATTTGCATTATGGACGAATAATTATATCACTGGGTCGCCCATCCTTGTTCCCCTTGGGTGTTACAAGTAGATGTACTTTATAAATAGCAAAAACAATGCACATGTATCCAAGACTTTTTCTAATGTATTAAAACATACAGTACATCAGGACATCATCACCCTTTTCTGAACCAGAAAGTAAGACAAAAATCAAATCTGTTTCTCAGTTGTATCTGCCAATGGAAAAGCAAACATATTAAAAGACTCACTGCAAAGACATTGAATCTCAACTTAAAGTATCTCCTCCACTGTAATAATGAATAATAAAACACCCCATGGATCTCATTTAAAGCCTTTGCCTGACATATATCTGTGTGTGACTACCTTTATAATCATTACTGGCCTGTGAACAAGGAAAAAAAATGTTCTTTAATGTTGCATTCCCACTCCTTTTTCTCATGTGGAGTGTGATAAAAACTGGATAGTAGGAAGCCTTGACTTCAATTGTGTAAACTCATCCTGCAGGAATGCCCTTGGCAATAGGGTGGGGTTGGACACAGGATCCTGCCCAGATCTGCTGGCAGGATCAGTTCTTTTTTATTGGCCCTGTGGAGCAAAGCTCTAAAGAATGGCACTGGGTCAGAGATTCTTGGTTTAGTATCATACAGCAGCAGGGTGGGAAGGGCCCTTAGGAGGTCATCCAGCCCAGCCCAAGCCCCCACTCCAAGCAGGACCTGCCCCAACTACTTCCTTTGAGCACTGAGCTGGGGGAGGGGAGTCTCAAAGCATGCAGTTGTTCCTGACGTGCCTGGGGATGAGGGGCCACAGCTGTTTGTTCCTCTGGGTCTCAGCTGTCATTAAACTGAAAGGAAAAGAGGCCGTTCAGGGCCGGCTTCAGTTACAGGGAAAACCTAGCGTGTACATGCCGCACAGCCTCCGTCCTGCTTTTGCAGGGAGCCTGGCACAGTCGCTCTGAGGCGCTGCCTGCCCCGTTCAGGGTAGCGAGGGCTACAGCGGCCGCGAGGCTGCTTTCTGCGACAGCCCGGCCGAAGCCCGCTGCTCGCCGGTCGTGCAGGGGCAGTTGCCGGGGCCTGGCGGCTGTGGGGGGCATCCGAGAGGACTTCGTCACCGCGCTGCTCGCGCGCCCTGGGCTGCCTGGAGGCGGCGGCCCGGGGGGCTGGCGGGAGGACTTCCCGCGCCGGTGTCCGGGGAGGGGCCCGGACGGGATGAGCTTCCCGCCAGGGCCGGCAGCGCCCTCACCTGCGGCGGCAGCGGCAGCGGGGACGGAGC